AAACACTTTTTTAAACATGAAATCTTTTGAGAAATATTTGACAGTCAACCACATAAAAAGCAAAATGTGAAAGTTAAGCTTGCCTGTTTTGTACATACAATAAAATGTAGCATTCTAATAAAATTTTGCCTGGCACAGTGGTACACGTCTGTAATCCCAGCTGCTGAGGAGGCTAAGGCAGGAGGATAGAGTTCAAAACCAGCCTTAGCAAAAGCAAGGTGCTAAGCAACTCAAGTGAGACCCTGTCTCTAAATAAAAAATACAAAATAGTGATGGGGATGTAGCTTAGTTGCCGAGTGCCCCTGAGATCAATCCCTGGTAATCCCCCAATCAAAAAAAGTACTTTTCCCCAAGAGCCTTACTATAACTTTCTCAGGTGCAATGACACTATCTATGGCTGAAAATTATACCTCCAGGTATTTCAGGAATTTTTCCTTTACATAATCAAAATCAAATACAAAACACCTATTAGTAGATATATCTCAAATTCTGCCTATATAATCATATTTTCTTTGAAGTCCTATCATGTGCTGGCACTCTTCTAAGAATACATAAATGATTAAGAAAAAAATGGTATATGCCACCAAGTAATGAACAGCATTTGAATATGATAATTACAATTTAATAAGACATTTCCAAAGAATTACACCAGTCCTTTAATAACACACAGCAGGAACACCATACCTAGTCTCTTGGATCTGTATAGAATATCCTGACCTTACTGTTGAATAATAACCTAGTAAAGACCAGTACTTTTGATAAATCCTTATGCATTAAAGTTCTGGGCCTATATAGAGAACTCCAAATTCTTAAATATGAATATGAAGAAAGAGAAAAAGGCAAACAATTTAGCTGGAGAAGATGTTAACAAAATACATTCCGAGGAACCTATAAGCCATGCCAGCAAACATTTTTATATGCACTTACTATGTACCAAGAATTTTACTAAATGTTTTCATGCATTATCTAATTTAATCTTCATAACAATTCTTTAAATTAGGAATAATTATCCTGCAAGTGATGAAAGAGGTAAGGACAGGATAATTTGACAATGTTATTGAGGTTTGAAGAGGCAGAGACAAATGAAATCTGAGCAGTTTAAATCCTAAATATAAGCTCAAAACTCTCCACTCTGTTGCCTCTTTTAAATGAAGGCTGCTAGGGGGAGCCATTGAAAGGTTTTTAAACTAAAGAGTGGAGTGATCAGATTTGTTCTACAGAAACAATGTTCTGCAGCCATGTGTAAGATGGAAAATGGGTGTGGATCTAGAAGCAGAAAGAGGCTGTCTATACATCTGCTATAATCCAGGTGAGATATGACAAGAGTATGAACTATGGTAGTGAAGTAAAGGTTTAATGAAACATGAAACCAAAATCCTGGCCTGGGGAACTAGATGACAATCAATCCAATATCACCACCAGAAATACAGAAGCAATAGACTTCATTCCTTCAGTAAATATCTACAGTGCCCTCCAAACACCACTTTCCTATAACAAAGTATCAAGTCTGAGATTATAGTTCTGGTGACTAGAAAATATTGTTGAGAACAAATGACAAATATAACATATAATACTAAGACACATGCAAAATTTGTCATTACTATTAACAGGCGAAAACATTTCATGCTATCTTTTTAAAATATTACTACAGGCAGGAAAAAAAATCAACAGAAGGCATCCCATAATTTTATAATGTATTATTACATTTGAGTTTGACAGATCTTTAGTCTCTTACAAAACACAACGACCACTCTGTAATTTGTTTTGCTTGTCCACACTCTCCCTTAAATTGGGGGAGGGGGCAGGGTATCTGTTTCATTACCCAAACTAAAATACATATTTGGGCTTTTTTTTTAATCCCACTATCATTGCTGTAACTTGCCAAGAATTTAGTTCATAACCTCCTACTTGACTTCCTATAAAATATGACCTACTTCACATTAGCTTATTTCAGTAACAATTCGTAGACGTTAACCATACCTCTCATCTGAGGATGCGCTCTATAAATCTTAAGGCACAGCAATCCTGTGCAGATGTGGCAAGTTATTACAATCCCCATTTTACTACAGAGTTAGGAAACTGGCCCAGGGGAAGTAAAATAACTTGGAAATAATCACAAAGCCAGATGCCAAAAATAACAACTTTTAGTCAATCCATGAGAAAATACTGCCCCTAGTTGAAATAACATGGAATTTAGTATTAGGAAGAAGCAAAATGCAAAATAATGCTTTAAAGCCAAGTCTTAAGTCTTATTTCTAAAAATGACTGAACACCAGAATTAAGATCTATAAGAACTTTCAAACAAAGTCATCTTTTCTGAATGCTTTACTCATCCAAGGTTCCAAAGAAAGATTACTTAATCAATTACATCTGCCAAGAGTGGCTTCCCCCCACACACACAAAAAAAAAAAACAATTTATCTTATCCATTTAAAAGACACTGGTAGACATCTGTTGGTAACAAGAAGTAACTTTTTAACAAACTTTTAAAAATCTAATGCCTAGAAACATATATTAGAACAGATCCGAACATACTGCAAGTGAGCCTGATATTATCTTCTAAAAATATACTCCTTGCAGTCCCATTGTAATATTCACAGATAATAATTCAAAGTTTTGATAGTCAATATTTGAAATGAAAGTTTCCCAAACATAACTTATCCTATATATTTCCATATATGTTGCTGTTTGACATAAATTAAAGGCATTGTTTTATTTGGTTATGACATAAAATTCTTAACAGTATTTAGGAACTACACAACTCAAACTGTAAAAGTGACTTTATGATAACTATGTAATCATTCTTAGATGCACAAATCAGAGCAAAATACTTTCTATTATTACATAGTATTTACACTTTATTTACAGTCAGAACCAGTATGCTCATGATTTTATCATACTAAGAACAAGCAGAGAGACAATAGTTATTGACAAAAATAAGTCATGAACTGAGATTGCAAATTCTCATAAACACCTCAGGTATCAATCATGAAAGTATGGTTTTCCTTCAAACAGAAGTCAACCTATTAATTCTAATCACTATCTTAACAAACAACAACAACAAAAGCTTTCCACTGTGCCAGGATTCCTTTTAGCAGATCTTGCATATCCTCTATCAGGACCACTTTGTRTGGAACCTCAGTGCATAAATCAAATGACATTCCAAAAGATTTTACCAGTAATGTATCTTCTAAAAGTAGTGATCAACTAGTAGAAAAAAATAATAATCCTGGTAAACCTAATACTTTTTATTCCTAGCACAAGAATAATTCAGGCCACTTATTTACAATACACCACACCCCCACAGATATAATCCCAAGCTTTTAACATTATTGTAACAATAAGAGCTGAGAACAACTTAATACTCCTTTAACATCAGGAACTGCCTTTAAGATAACCTCACTTAAAGCTATTACTTCTATATCTTTTGAGTACATGTGATTAACATATTCCACAAAGATTCTAAAAGCAGTATTCATCATCCAGAAACTGCACTCTTCAGCGTTTAATCCCAATGATGGGACAGAAGATGCAAAAAGCACAAATTGTAAACACTAACTGTAAATTACGATTGTAAAATGTGAACTCTCATGATTAAGAAAAAGCAAATCATTTTTATCAAGTTTCCAAGCAGGACAACTCGCTTTATGAAGCAGGAGTTATTGGCAAAATAAACTGTACAACTAGATTCTGGAAAATGCTCAAATTGTCCACCCCAACATTCACAAGGTTTTAATACTGAAATTCGCTCAATTCCTATTTACATACCAAATGAATATCCATCATGGATATCTGAAACTATTCTCAAACATCGGTAGGATAGGGGCGGGGTGGGGGGGAGCAGAGAGCCACCTTTCGTTCTGCAATACCCGGCCACCCAGCAGCAGGTAAACCAGATGCAAGGCTACGACAGCTGCYCTTGGCCAACGCCATCAGAAACACCAAGGGGCAGAGAGGCGGGGGATAACCATCAAGAGACTAGATCTTTTTCCAGGGCTGCTGTTTCCAAGCACAACCACGAACCCAAAGAGATGGCAATGAAAACCGGAGTCTCTTTAACCACCCCCCCCCGAGGGGGGTACATATAGTCCCGAGAGAAAGGGATGCAGAGGAGAGGAGGGGGCGGTGGAAGAAACTAAGTATCCCCAAGCATCCTTCAGACTCACAAAACAACAAGCCCTAGAGTCTGTCCGCACTTAGAAGCACCAGATGGAGTCCCCGGGGCTGAGACAGTTCAGCAGACAAACACGGTAGGCAGCGGATAAATCACACGAAGATGGGAGGGTAAGGGGGGGTACTGGGAAAATAAGCCACTATATGAGGGAGACAAAGCCTCCGGGGGTGATCCAGGGCCAAAGAGAAAGGTGAGAGGGGAGACACACGAGAAAGACAAAGAAAAATAAAAACAGGAATCTGGTGCCTGGGCTGTGGCAGGTCACTGGGCCACCAAGAAGAGAGGAACACAACAAAGGGGCACAGGAGGAAGGACAGCGGAGGGAAAGAGATGGAGAAGGGATGCGGGGCGCGGCGGGGCGGACAAAGCGCCCAAGGCAGCGAAACAAAGGGCCGGGGGTAGAGAGTCGCGGGGGGACAGCGCGGAAAGACAAAGCGCCCGGGGCCCGGGGCACCGGAGGGGCGAGGAGGCGGCGACCGCCGCGAGGAACAAAGCTGCGCGGGGCCCCGAGGCAGGGCCCGCGGGCGGCGGTGCGGGAAGCGCGCGCCGGGCACGGCGCCCGCGGGCCCCGCGCGCCCGGCGGCACTCACGCCCGCACCCCCCGGCCTCGCCGCCGCCGCCGCCCGCCCTCACGCGCCGGAGCCCGAGCCACGGCGGCGCAGAGCGGGCAGCGCACAGGCACACGCCGCCGCGCTCGGCACAAGCGTCGCCACTCCCGCGGCCCCCGGTGTCCAGGCGCGCCGCGGCCCTCTAACCCGCCGCCCTCCACGGGCTGCCAGACGCCTGCAACTTTCCCGGTTCCCAGCGCTCGGTTCCCCCAGACTTACCCTGTCACAACAGGCGCCATCTTCCACAAACTCTCGCCAAAACTCCAACCCTCGCGAGATTCCCCCTGACGCCTTCCCAGGTCCCTCTCCCCCGCCCCTTCCCTCTTTCCTCACTCCTTGATTCCACCCAGCCCCCGCGCTCCTTTTCCCCTAGCAGCCGCCGCGAAGAGCCAGACGCCTCGCGCCGCCCGCGGAGTAGGGGATCCTGCTCTCTGCCTTCCTTGGAAACCTACCCAAGCGATGGAGCATGCGCAGGCGGCTCCTCCGCAGGCGAGCCCTCCGTGTGGTCCATGGGGAGCGCTCCGGTTATMCGGGTTTTGGGACGCGCCCTCAGGGACGTACGTGGAGACTGAGGAAAACCGGAGGGGATTACTACGGGGACAGGGAATGGAAGGGTCAGGAGGCGGGGCCGAGGGGTAGGGAGGAGGGGTCCTGGGAAAATGTGCCGCGTTTCACAGGCCTAGATRAAACACCTCCTCAAGTGGGTGTTTTCCTTGTGGCTTCCCGCTCACTCTGGATTCCCAGCCCTTTTCATTCATTCAGACGTTCGTTGGACATCTCCTTTATACTAATCTCAGCGATAGATGCAGGAGCTATATGACTGGGGCTCAGAAGAGTGACATACCAGGAACTACCTTCATTCATTCGACCCCCATGCAACTGGGGAGACGGGCATGATTACAAAGTGGTCCAACCCTTCCAGAGCTCTGTAGATGGGAAACTTTTGCAATTGAGCTCTGTCGCCTTCGCTCCTTCTTCTTGGGTGCAAAATGTCAGCCGGAGGCCTCTGGCAAAAGTACCCCTAACGTCCACCTCACAGACACACACCAGATTGCTGAGTAGTTATTTCCAGAAGTGAAACCTGAGCTGGAATTGAAAGCCACGCTCTGTCACCCTTGAATCAGACCTGCTTAAAGCTCCTGATGAACGGAGCAGAGAGATGAGCTGCCTGCAGTGGGAGCCTCTCTAGGAGCACATCGGAGCCTCCAGCTGCCTGTGAGCCCAGGAGTTTATGGAGATGCACAGAAGACGGATGCTCCCGCGGGCCTCACGCAGCCGAGGACACTGCATGCAGCCCGAAACTTTCTTCAGGCGGCCTAAGTCCGAAAGCCCCAGCAAACGAGGCCGGCTAGGCATTTAATGGCAAGGTGCAGGGCCGGAACCCCGCCCCTTATCCCCCCTACCTGCAGCACCTGGTTTCCCCCTCCCTCGCCCTTTTCTTTCCTAGAGATTCCCAGATTGTGCACGGCCTCCAACAGGGAGCCCCAAAAACCCGGAGAACTGGAATCCGCCGCCTGAAATCTGCTGAAGGCGCTGCAGGATTGGCGCGGCACGCGCAAACGACATTGCGCATGTGCCTAATGCGGGCAGTCCAGTCTCACGCTACACCGCCTTCCTACCGCCTTCCACTACTCCGCTCAGACACAACATAGGCCGTGGGAAATTTTCTAAGCCTCGCGAGAACGTGCCCCCCTGTTGCCTATGCTTTCGCGTCAAATCTCGCGGAGCCCAGGCTGGACAGGTGTCTTAAGCAGCTCCAGGCGCTGTTCGTGCCGCGCGTGCCCGGGCGGCGGGCGCTGCCGGGGTGGGAAGGGAGCGGCTTGCTGCGGAGGCGGGGCGAGTGGGCGCGTGGCCGGGAGCAAGGGGCGGGGGACGGATGCCCGAGGTCTAGCGCACAAACACACACAGTCCCTGGGAGGCTTGATGGAAAAAAATGGGTGGGGGGGAGCCTGGAGTTTAGGAACTTCCCCGGAAGCGGAGAGTGAGAGGTTATGTTCTAGGGCTGCAGGAGCCCCAGCCCAGACTCCCGGGAGGTTTCCTGTCGCCCTCCACGAGCCTGGTACTTTCCTGAAACGTGTTAGACGTCGCGCCCCCAGCCTCCAGGAGCTGACAGACAGCCCCCAAGTGTCGGGTTTGAGTCATGCCTCTGAGTCACCTAGTCTGGCCACCACTTCACTTGCTTTAAAACAAGTTCATATTCCTTTAGCAAATGTTCTTCTTTAGCAGTGGATGGTTTTCTGATCTTCCTGCTGGCTGTGGTATAAATTGGGGCGTGGGGGGGGGGCGCAGAAAATCTGATCCAGCACTCTCACATTGTTGCCTGGTATAAAAAGGACACTAATTTTTTCTTTCTTTCTTTCCTTCAGTTTCTTCCTAGCCTTATAAAGTAATCACTATGTTCTTTTTTTGTCCCACTAATGTGGCTTAAAGTAATGGTTTTGCTTTCCTTCCCCTTTTCATGCTTTTGTTGTAGTGGTTGTAATAAACAGCCCCGTTTTAGGAATCATCTTATTAAGTTCTTTAGTGACTATCGTTTTAAGTGCATCCCTTCTTTTTGGATAATGTCTAATGAGTTCCCGATTACATTCTCCAGTCAGCTGCTTTTCAGATTGACCTGGTGTGGTTTCCAACCAGCTTAGCCTGGCGTTGTACAGGAACTAGTGCTTTGCTGATATCAGGGATCTGCAAATATAGAATTGAATTTAATTTTTATATTTGGAACACTGAATCCTCTAATAGAGGCCCGAGTTCTGCTGATTATATAGTGGCAGGGAAATCAAATTTTTTAGTTGTTTTCAAGGTTTTCTGTGTATTTGTATTTGACTATTTCTTTTGATTATATACTTGGCACAGAAAGAGGAAATGTAACAACATTTAATACAATATATCATTGCAAGTTTGATTTGGAAAAGAAGAGCTCAAGAAAGGACAGTATCCTTGGACACATATTCCTTGAAACCTTCATCCAAAAAGGCATTTCAGCCATGATCTAGGACAGGCCATGATCTAATTTGGAACCAAGGCCACCTGAGAGTCCCAGAAAACTCAGAAAGCCATTGTAACCACAAATCTAATCGTAACACCTCACCTTCACCCTGAAACAGCTCCACTCACAACCTTTCCCCATCTCAATAAATGGCAACTCCTTCCTTCCACTTCAGCCAAGAATCCTGGAGACATTCTTGCTTGTCTCTCACACCTGAAATCCAATCATGCAGGAAATCATGCTGTTTGCATGTATTAATCCATTTTCTGTTACTATAACAAAATGCCTACTTGACTCTAGTAAGGACCTAATGGCAAATGTTGTCAAAATGGTAGGAACACATGGGTAACAGAGATCACTTGAGAGAAAACCAGAGACTGGAAAGGAACTTAGTCTTCTTCACTTTTTCTTCTTTTTTAAACCCAGGTGCACTTTACTACTGAGCTATATCCCCAGCCCTTTTTATTTTTTATGTTGAGACAGGGTCTCACTAAGTTTCTGAGGCTGATCTCAAACTTGCAATCCTTCTGACTCAGCCTCCTGAGTCACTGAGATTACAGAAGCCCACCTCACCAAGCTGTCTTCATTTTTAACAATTTACTTTTGTTCACTCCATGAGACCAGCATTAGTTCCTTCAGAAGGCAGCACCCTCAACAACCTAAGTAATTCGCCATGGGCCATCTCACATCATCACCACAGGGACCAAGATTCTAACACATGAACCTTGAAGGAATACCCTTCATCCATATCCAAACCATAGTACTCCACCTTCAAAATATACCCACTGTCCTAACACCAGTCTAGTCTAATCCATCTCATTTCTCACCTGGTTCACCATAAGCTTCCTGTTTAGTGCTCCATTCTTCCATTCTTACCTTCCCTCAGTCTGTTCTCTGTGGGCCGTTCTGAGATAACCTCTAGAACTGTACAAAGGTCTTACCATCTCACTGTGAAGACCGCTGCAACCCAGCCTGCCATCTCACCTCTATGACCTCTCCTCACTTGTTAAGCACCAACCACCCTTCTTCCTTGCAGCTCCTGGGACACACCAGGCACACTCTCAACCCCAGGCTTTGGTTCTTTTCTCTACCCAGAATGCCATTCACTTAGACACCTTATGGCTCCCTCCTTTGGTCTTAACTCAAATGTCACCTTCTCATGAGGTCTTCCCTGACCATCTAGAGTGGCTCTCATTGTCCTCACCCTCTTCTTTCTTCATTTTGCTCATGACATTCATCACAAAGAAACACCATAGCTCATACTCCTGTGTTGTGTTCACTGTCTGCCTCCTCCCGTTATAATGTATCTTTCATGAGGGCAGAGACTTTTGCCTGTCTAATTCATTGTTCAAGCCTCAGCCTCTGGAACAATGCCTGGTACATGGTAAGTTTTCAGGAATAGGAGAAATAGGGTGTATCCCACTTTAGGGCATAGTAGAAATGATTCTGAAAACTCACTAGGCCTCCTGGTTCAAAACCAATATTGGGGTCACACCAACAATGACCACCCCAGTATCAGCCTACCCAGGAAGGAAAAAAAGTGTATGGAGCTTCCTAAAGAATAAAAAGAAAGAAACTAGTCTTTACTTCTGAGATCAGTAGATGAGGTTACACTTCCTTTAATAAAGAGTTTATTGTACTCTCATTTTAGAACCTCAGGAAAGAAAACACTTAGCAGGATATGAAGAAGTAGCTATTTTGATGACTTGCTAGTGGATGTGGAAATGAATGTAATCTTTATGGAAACCACTTTGCCACATTTATCACTACCTATGAATCCTACAAGTCCATGTTTAGAAGTTTAATCCTACAAATGCACTCACACATGTGTGAAATTACCTATGTATTGCATTATTATTGAAGGTAAAAAAAAAAAATACTGGTAACAACCTAAATGTCAATAAGGTATGTCTTGGGCTGAATTCAGAGCCTTGTATATAGCTCAGCAGGTGCTCTGCTGCTGAGTAGTTATTCCATCCAAGAGATGGCTTATTTTTTTTAAATCACAATAAATTCATAGAATGGAATAATATGGGTCCATTCATATTCAGAGACTGCTTATAAGTTACATGAATGGATCATAAAGTTTAAAAAGCATGCAAAATAGTGATAGATACATATATGCATATTTGCTTATATGTGTCTGAAATAGTTCTGGAAGAATACATTAAAAAATAACAGTGACTACCTCCCCACAAGAGGCTCAACTGTTGGAAAATGTAGGTGAGAAGTTGGATTTTCTCACTTTCTACTTTCTTTTCTCTATTTTCTTGGAT